AGCCCTACCCATCGGGAGGACGACGCCTGCGTTCCAGCCCCCACGGACGACAAGATGACCCAGAGTCCCCCCCCGCCGTGGTCCCAACCTCCCTTCAGGGCAGACTCCAAAGCCTGGTCCCCATTTGCGCGGGCTGCCGCCCGAGGAACGCCCAGTCACGAATGGGCCCGAGACGATGCCCGCCCCAGAGAGGGTCGGACCCGGAGCCTTCACGCAGGCAGTGGCGGCAGGACTCTTAGGCATACGGGGGGCGAAGCTGGCCGCCGTGCACCCACGCTTGACGAAGTCAGTACCAGAGAACGCTCAGCCACACCGCCGCTTCGCAACTCATCCAGACCGTGGCGCAACACTCAGGACTCGTGGCACGACGCGCGGTCTGCGGCAAACCGGCGCGCCCTGATGACCCCATGGGGGGGCCTCCCCATGTACTTGAGATCTATCGCGTCACAAGGGACGAACCAGCACCCGACAAGATCACACGGATGCAGAAGGCGCTGGGAGGCGCGTTTAACGGGGCCTGGAGCGATTGGGTCAGGATGGCAGCCCTCAGTCAAGGGAGTACCTACGTCAAGTCCAACCCCAGGCTAAACACCGTACAACAATGCGACGAGTTCCTACAGGCATGGAGCACAATGGGGTACGACGCCTACAAGATGGATAGAGAATGCCAACTCCACGTCGACTGGCCAAGTGTCGTGGAGCGACACCAGACTGCGCACTGCCGACGTGCCCGTCGGCAGCGGACGCCCCCACCCCCATGGGCCGTCGAAGGCAAGGAGGCTGCAAATGCCCCCCCCCATTGAACACTGAAGGCAGGGTTGCTGCATGGTCAGGGGCATCTGGATCAGAAGCACCTTGGCGTGCATGTCAGTCCTGGGGCGCGTGGGGCCATCAGCAGGATACATGGACTGACGCTGACTGGAAGGCGAAGGGGAAGCGGCTTTCTCCCAGAGGGGGAACCCAGTACGCAGACAAGCGTCCGCGGGGGTGGGGCGTCCGACCCAAGTGATCGAGGAAGAATTGATCCAGCTCGTTCCGCGCCCTCCCCCCCCTGCGCTGGGGAGACCGCGGCCCGCGCCGATGCGGCTCTCTCCCCGTGCTTGCTGCCCGTGCCCCCCCCCTACTCGCCTCTTCCCCCCCCCCCCCCCCTCTCTGCTGTTGCCCATCCTCCGTGCAGCCCTTCTGTGGTTCGAATCCATCTCTGGTGCGCTGGGCCATGTCAATTCTCAGAGTCGCGACTCTGCCCGTCATGGAACGCAGCGCGTGCTTCCTGGACAACAATGATCTTGGGCAGCTGGGAGCGACCTCCACCTCCTTATACAAAGTGGTCTCGATTGCGGTGGCCCTGTGGGCCATCTGGGATCCCGCGGCGCCTTGCGGAGCCCGTTCGGTTGGCAGCCCCATGGTCCTCAACCGGCCCTTCGCCTCGAACAGCGACGCTGGGCTTGTGGACTGAAGCCGATGGGGAGTGTCAGCCACCCCACGGTCGAAGCTTCCCTCATGGGCGCTCCCGGCCACGACGTGGGCAGGTTTCGCTGGGGGCCTCTTGGGCCCCTCTTGGGGCGCCTTCTTGGGTCATCTTGGGGCCATCTTGGTGCCCCATTAGCGCGTCGGAAGCAAAACGGCGAGAAGGCACAGCACATACATGTTCCTTCGGCTTTTGACTGATTTTGGGCTCTTGGAGGAGTCCAGAGGAGTTTCCGAAAGCACCTGGAACCGTCTTGTGGCCATCTTGGGGCCGCCTGGAGGCATGTTGTTAACTATGTTGAGCCATGTTGGGCTGCCTTGGCGCTCTTGGGTGCCATCTTGGGCTTTCTGAGGCTCTCTTGGAACCATCTTGAGGGCATTTTGGGCGCTCCAACCGATCGCGGCCCCTCCCGCCCAGGTATAGGGGAGGGGGTCGGGGGAGGGGTAAAGACTCCGTCCCCGCCCGCAAACCGTCTCGCTCATTCCCACCCGCCGCCCCGACACATACGTAGCACCCGAGCCTGGCCCGAACCGCAGCATATTCAGCAGTCGTCTTTGGATGGTCAGCTACTGGGAGCGAGTTCGCCGCCGCCGCCGCCTCCGCCTCCGCCGCCGCCGCCGCCGCCCGCCGCCGCGCCGCCGCGCCGCGCCGCCGCCGCCGCTGTCCGCCGCCGCCGCTGCCACCGCGCCGCCCGCCGCCGTCGCCGCCGCCGCAGCCGCCGCAGCCCCCGCTGCCAAATCGCCGCCGCCGCAGCCGCTGCCGCCGCAGCCGTTGCCGCCACCGCTGCCGCCGCCGCCGCCGCCGCCACCGCCGCCACCGCCGCTGCCGCCGCCCCCGCCGCCGCCGCCACCGCCGCCGCCGCCGCAGCCGCCGCATCCGTTGCCCCCGCCGCAGCCGCCACCGCCGCCGCCGCCAAGTGCATTCTGGATTGTTTTTTGACAGGGATGGTGGGGGGAGGCCGCATCGGGTTCGTTGCGCATGTTCCGAATTTGAAGGCAGAGTGTATTCAGTTTTTTTGTTTTTGTTTTTTTTTCCCCCCCAAGGGGTGGTGGTGGTGGGGGCGCATGGTTTCGGGTTGGCTCCCAGTCGCCTGGGGGAGGGGGTGTGCATTTATAGGGAACAGTGATAAGCCCCTCCCCGAAGGGGAGGAGGGTTTTGGGAAGAGGAAAAACAAACATCGTTAGACCACCTGCGCCCAGAGGGCTGGTGGGATTCTATGAGGACCCCCCCGTCCCTGCCCCTTTCTTTCCTGCTCCTGCCCCTGTCGGCGATGACCCGCTCCTGCAGGGGTGTCCGAAAGTCCTGGGGGGAATGCCACATACCCGACCCGCTGCGAGCGTGGTGCTTGGAGGATCCTGTGGGCAGCCGGCATCCCCAACCCTCGACGCACCGAGTCCGTGACGCAGATCAAGCCCAGTTTAGTTCCAGATGCAGTCCAGCGGATAGGGGGTAACCGTGGACCTATCGCGGACGCACCGAGTCCGTGACACAGATCAGGCCTGGTTTCAGCGCAGAGGCTGTCCCGCAAACGTGGCCGAAACTCGGCGGATAAACCCGCAAACCCTGCCCCCCTCTCGACGGGACATACAGAGGGGCAACTATTTAATAAGGTTTATGATCGTATATTGCGAGGAAGTCTCAAGCAACACGGCAGGTACGTTCGCTACTCGTCGAAATCGAACCGGAAGAGAAAGCCAACAAAACAATGCAGGCACCATTAATGTGAGACCAGCCTGAATAAGAAATCATTGAAGAGGGTAGCGGCCGAGCAACGCGCCCGCATTATTTGTTGTAAACTGGGGGCCACCAACACAGTTTGGAGACTCAGCATTGTCCCTGGTGAAAATAAACAAAGTACAAGCGCCGGCAGGGGCACTTCAGCTGAAAAACGCGTATTCGGCATCGCCCGGGAGCCTCGCCGAAGATATGGATCGTCGGCGCCCATGGATACATGTATTGCTCCCCCCTGGGCTATTCGGCCCCTATCGTCGCCTCTTGCATTCGTCAGCAGACGGGAGTGGATCAGCAGTATTCTTCCCGCGGGCCGTTGCGGCGCAAGATCTTGGGCTGGACGGATGGGGCCGAGAGGTCCGTCGGCGGCCCGATTTGTGCACGACGTCGGATCTGCTGCAGACCGCTCGGGGCGACGAGCACGGCACGCATTGGCACCGCGCGAACGCAGGGCAGACTCGCGCCGCGCCGGAGCGGCGGCGACCCCCGGGCGGGCGTTCGAGGTTGCACGCCGTGAGTGGCCCGGAATCGGTCGTCGTCGAACCATCCGCGATCGTTCCAGGTCGAGTGGTTCACGGTGTGTCAGAGGCCAGAGGCCAACGCTCACAACGTCACGACACGAACTTGCCGCACAGGAGGCACGTCAAAGAAGAAATCTGCCTGCCAGCAAGTGCCCCACGGAGGCTTCTGATCCCCCAACGGCACTGGGGGCCCACCGAAGACACGGGACACATTGGGGAGTCGAAAGATCTGTAGCAGACGTGCCCTAGCAGAATGTCTCGCTGCGTGTGTGCACTGTGCCGTGCAGACTTCTGCTGGCAATTTGGACCACCTGTGATTCCATCTCTGCCCACCCCAGCCGACGGCCCAGGTCCCGCGCCAGCTGGGCGGAGGACCCCGCGGAGGAGGAGGCGGAGGAGGACGCGGAAGAGGAGGAGGAGGAGGAGGAGGCGGAAGAGGAGGAGTAGGAAAAGGGGGAGGAGGAGGAGGAGGAGGAGGAGGAGGAGGAGGAGGAGGAGGCTCGTTGGACGTTAAGTGGTCGTGTTCACGATTAAATCCGTATTCTCGGAGGTCAAGTGGTCGTGCACACTATTTGTTTCGCCGCGGTGCATCGCGATGCTAATGTGCATGTAGACCTTTCCTCCAATTGAAATGCTCACGCTTCCTGCATGTAGTCCCTTCGGGTTGCGAGCAACATATCATGGCAGGAGGGAGCACACCGTCAGTTCGAACAAGCTTGGTTGTTACTTTCATGAGAACGCTGTTCATTCCCTGACATGTAACCTTTGTGTCTAAATTTCATGGGCGGCCCGTGGTTGAGCGCGCACGCGGCGTCTGGTTGACGTGGAGGAGAGTAGAAAAGGAAGGAGGGCACGCACGTCGTATTTGCGAGCCACATTAGCTTGAACGTCTCTTGCATGACGTTGCCGTGTCCTGGCTGACGCGTATGAATCTAGTTTTGGAGCACACGGACGCCCCTTACTTGAGCGCGCACAAGGCTTTTGATTTAGAGGGGGGCAGAGGTGGTTGAGAAGTAGAAGTGGGGAGGAGGGCCTGCGACTTTAATTTTGGAGCTGCCTTGCATTCATTTGCAAGGGTCCTGACTTGCTCGGGCGCACGTGGATTCAATGGGCTGACGCGCATCCACCAGCCCCTTCTGATATTTGACACATTTGTGACTCGTTAGCAGGGAATTGCAGTTAGCAGGGGTGTTCATTTACATGACCCTGACGCGTCGGCCTAGATCTTGTTCGCGTCGGCCTTCAGCTGCTCTGGGGGGTCGCGTCTCCAACCGCCCCGCATGACCATTGCCGTGAACCTGAGCGATGACACCCTAGGCAGTCGGCCCTCGGCTTTGACCGCGGCTACTCGGAGAGACTTGAGTTTCCCGTCTGCGAGGCTCTGATTCCAGAAAAGCTCCAGAGATTTCTGGAGGCCCTCCTGGGAGGAGCAGCGGGAGGAGGAGGAGCGAAGAATAAGACGAGTAGTAATCACAGGATGAAACTTAATCACAGTAAGGCTCAAGGCCACTCTGGTTCAAGCGCCACCGCCAAGCGCCCGATCCGAGCCCGGGCCCGAGCGTTCTTTCGACCGATTCGAGCGATTTCGGGCCCAACCGATTCCGGCCGCCATGGCGACGCATCAGCCTCTTGGAGCGACCCCGGGCACAGCTGCTCGTGCCGCCCCGCCCGCCACAGGTCCTGACACGAGCATGGAGGAGTGCGAGTCTGGGCTGACGCAGGCTACTGCCCGACTTACGGTGGTCGACCCGCTGAACGGGCCGCCTGCCCCTGGGCTGCCTCCCCCGGCTGCGCCTGCTACGGCCCCGGGACTCCAGGCAGTTTTCTCGCCTGTCACGGCCGCCGCAGCTGCCGCCGAGCCCGCTGCAGTTCCAGGAGTCGCTGCAGCGCCTCAGCCGCTCTCGGTGCCCCAGCCGTTGCCACATGAACTCCTCAGTGATCTATTGGAGCAGGAGATTTTGCGTTACTTCGAGATCGTCCGCGCCGCTCAGGCGACAGGACAGAGCCCGCCACTTTCGGCCGCATCCACGCTGGCGACCTTCGACGACCTTATGGCGGTATTGCGGGGATTCGCCTACGACCCGACCTCGTCTGACTGCTGGCAGGCCTTAGGGCTCAGCCCGCTGGAAGGGCCTGAGCCGACGCTTGGCATGCTCGAGTCGCGAGCCCGCACTGCCCGGCTGCTTTCGTCAGCTGCTGAGGGCCCGCGCTGGTCACAGAGCGACAAGCAGTTGGTCCCCCCCTTCCTCAAGAAGCTCGAGCTGGCCGTCCAGGACTGCGCCAACTCCCTCGCCGGCTGGCGCAGGGAGCGACGGAAGCTGAAACCCAGCAGGCTCCCTCTGTGGAAGGAGCTTGGGCCACGAGCCCTCTGCGCGGTGCTCGACACAGCCCTGTCCCCACAGGAACGTGTCGCGACGCAATGGTCCGCGCTGCTCGGCTCAGGCCCCCCACGTCTACGAGAGCAAGCCGATGATCGTGTTCTCCCCCTGGATGGAGCTCGGCGTCTTGCCGAATCGGCCGAGAAGGGGGACGACTCGTTCTGGGACCTGCTGCAGAACGTGCCGGTCGTCATCTGGGCCCCTACCGACTCCTCCGCGCTGGGCCGCCTCCGAGAACACATGCTGGAACGTTCCAGCGGCGGTTCACTCCCGCAGTACATCCGTATGATCACTCCGCTGGAGACTTTCCCTCGGTGCCACTCGGTCGACGCCATCCAGGATCTCTGGTAGCATCCCATTTTGGGAGAAAGGTGGGCAGCCCTCCTCCGTCAGGTGGACTTCGTGACGCACCCCATGGAGTTCGTGTCTCCTGGCTCCGTGGGGCCGCGGCAAGAATTCAAGGGCCTCGCGATTTTCACAATCTCCACGTATCTCCCAAAGGGCCCTCCCAATATGCTGATGGTGGAGGAGCCCCTCTTCTCTCTCGGGGACAAGCCCACGTACGTGGTGGACATCCCTGCCATGGCACTCCCGCTTGTCTACAGCTTCATGTCAGATCCTGGCATGCGGTGTGCGACGATGGGCCGAATCACCCGCAGCCCAGGCCACACTGCCGAGGTTCAACGCATCACCGTGGATATCCGCTTCGACCGGGCCATCCCAGCTCTGGAACAGGAGCTCCGCATGCGTCGCCTCCGCAGCGCGGCGCTTCCCCCCGACTCGTTCTACGGCTCACATGCGATGTTCTCGGACCCGGCGGCCCTCCTCGCCGAGTTCGCGCACCCCGGCGCTGCTTGCAAGGCGTGGTCGTTGTGCAGCGGCCTCATCCCCCTCACCTCTGGGAAGGTACTGGTCCAATCAGAGACAGAGGCGGACGTCTGGTGGACAGAACGTTGCAGGAGGACCCTGATACGGCCGTGCTGAAGCTCCAATACAAGCCGTCGCGTCACGGAGGACGGCAATTCGCCGTTCCATCCGCCACCCCTCAGCAACTTGCTGCCCTGCGCCGTCGACGCGGCCCGCGGTCCCGTCGAGCAGCCGCCCTCGAGGCCGTGGCAGATGTCGATATCCGGGGCTACGCCAGCATCGACGAGGCCGAGGTATTCCAGCAGCTGATGGCCCACCTCCAGCGCGGCGGGCATTCAGCTCACCGAGGCCACCGCTGAGACCATGCAGACCGGATCGTGGCAGTGGCTGGCCAAGACGGATCCCCGGGCTCCCTCGGGACGGGTCCGCTTATACCTGAAGGGCGCGGCCGACGTCCAAAAGGTCCGGGAGGCGTTGCGCGGCCAGGCGATTCGGGTTGGCACGGACCTCGTGGGGATACAGGTCTCCAGTGATTTGGCTGATGCGCAGAGTCTGCTCGCGAGCTCGGGAAACGTTGCGGGGGGGTGGCGCGGTTGCCATCCCCCCTCCTGGCGATGCGACTCTTGGCTCCCCGCCAGGGGCCTCCTGGGCGGTATCGCGCTCGGGTTGCATGTCCCTCCTCGTCGATGTCGTCTTGCAGCTCCTGTCCATTCCGATTGGCACGACCTGCGCGGCCAACGTCGCTGCGGAGGCTAATTCACAATTTGCCGCTGCCGCAGCCGCCCGCGATGTCCTAGGCGATCTTCCACCTCGTCTTCCGCCATTTCTTCTCCAACCTACTGCTCAGGAGCGCGCGCTTTCCCAGCAGGCCCGGACTGATGTTCCAATATCAGTATTGCAGTCTGCGCGACTCCGTCGCGCCCTCGGCCCCAGGTCACGCGCGCCGCCGGCCTCTACTACGAACCTGCCGTCGGAGGGCCCCGTGAGGACTGTAACCCCTACCTCGCCCACCTCGACCACCTCGTTGCGGGCCCCGTATACGGGGGGCATCTCGCTTGCCACCTGGAACGCGCAAGCCCTCTTTGCGGCGGACGTCGAAACTCACAGTCGCAAGTGGGCCCACCTCTGCCGACTCACCTCCCAGCGCGACTTGATCAGGATTACAGAGACGCATGGCACGGAGGAGTCGCTCCCATTAGCTCTACCTCCGTCTGGCTGTCGCGGTTGGTGGTCCCACGGCACGTCACAGTCTGCGGGGGTCGGCATTGTGGCCCGGCAGGAGTTTCTCGATAAGTTCTTGCATTTTGATTGATTTGTCATATCTCCTGGCAGGGCCGCACGGCCTCGTTTGAAGGGCCCTCGCGGCGCGCTGGAACTCGTCGTGGGATATTTCCACACAGGTCACGCACCGCAGCTGCGCCCGGCAGAGGCTCTGGGCGCGGATGCCGCGCGCGACGTTTCGGTCCGCCGGCAGCGGGCTGATTTGCGAAGCTCGATTGCTCAGAGCGTTGGGGGCTCCAGGGAGGTTCTATGTGTCATCAGCGGCGACTTCAACTGGGCGGTAGACGCCCGCGACCGCGTCTCCGAGGGCACTGGCCATACTGCCGGCGCTCGCGATCGCGCGGAGGAGGCCCACTGGTGGCGCCTCCTCCCGAACTTTCAGGAGATGTTTCAGGGGGCCATGACCCATGATTCGGCCCTCGCCCGCTCCCGCTTGGACCGCATCTAGACCAACGTGGATGGGGGCGAACTGCTGGACAGGCAGATCACGGCTGGGGTCCGGGAGTGGGTGCCTCATCTTTCGCGCCACCGTGCAAAGTTTTTCCAGCGCCGCATGGCCGCAGAGTCGCGGTCGGGTATCCGCCCGATTCCAGCAGACGTCGTCTGTGTTGACCTGAGTGGCCTCATCGAGTCAGCTTGCGATGCCACGACCTGCTCGACACGGCCCCTCCTCTCTCGGCAGTGGCTCGCCTCCCGCTGCTGAAGCAGGCGATCCAGGAAGTCAGCTTTGAGATGGCCTCCGACGGGCGCGCGGTCTCCGCGGGCGCGGTCGAGGACAGGCTTGGTTGCACCATGCGTTTCATTCGCGCGGTGGAGAACTCCTCCGTCTCCGCGATCGGCAGGTGCATGACGACGTGCCCCCACCTCGCCGACCTCGTTTCCAACTCGTACTGCCCTTCCTTCGGGGAAGGCGGCGCCCTCGCAGCTGTGCGAGGGCACGCCGTCGCTCTGGCGAGGGACCAGGCCGTCCGGGAGGTCGCCGCGCGCCAGGGCGATCTCCCGAACCTCTCGGATGCGGAAGCGACGGTTCGCCGGGCTCGAAATTCCAGACTGCTGAGTCGCCTCGTCCCTGGGCGAGGGAAGTTCCTGACGGCCACTCGGAGCCTGGGGGGGGGCACTCACGCATCTCCAGACGCCATGGCAGCCGATCTCCGCGAGCATTGGGCCAAGGTGTTCGAGGCACGCCCGACGGATTCTGCAGTTCGAGCGAGGTGGCTTGCTGAAGGTTTGCCTGCAAGATCGAGGTCCCTCCCTCCTTCCTCGCCCTCGAGGTGGATCCCATCGCGTCGGGGCGTTCGAGATGCGATTGCCCATTCAGGTTCGTCTACTCCAGGCCCCGACGGGGCCCCCGCAGCTGTGTGGAGGGCGCTCGGTCCTCTCGCCGAGCAGGTTCTGCATGGAGCGCTCCAGGATATGTCGCGGCCTGGTGGCCTGACCGTCTTGGAGCGGGACTACGGCTCGTTCAACGAGTCGCTAGTCTTCTTCATCCCCAAGAAGGTTTTTGGCTTCGACGACCGATGGGGGGAGTTTTACGACCCCGAGCACACCCGGCCGATCACGGTCACTAACTTCGACAACCGCATCCTCGCCAGCGCAGTGCGTCGGCGGATGCCAATACTGGCGACATGGGTTTCTCCACACCAACGCGGCTTCATCGGCGGGCGGTCGATGCTTGCGAACGCGATCGACATCGACCTGGAGATGCAGCGCGCCGCGCTCGAGCAGGACGATGGTTTCGCCGTCATGCTTGATTTCGAGTAGACCATAGTTTCATGTTGGACGTGTTTGAGCATCTGGGGCTTCCTGACTGCATTTTGGGATTTGTGCGGGCACTCTATTTCCAGAACCGCTGCCAGGTGGTCGCTGCCGGGGCACGCCACGACGGATTCACCATCACGGCCGGCATCCGACAGGGGTGTCCGCTCTCGCCGCTGCTCTTCGCGGTGGCGGCTGACCTCCTCTTGCGACGTTTACGCCGCCTGTTGCCCGCGGCCGCCTTGCGTGCGCATGCGGACGACCTGGCCTTGGTGTCCCGTTCCGGCGTCGGGGACGCGAGTGTCTTTGAGCGGACCTTCGAGGAGTATGCCCTTGTCTCCGGCCTGCACTTGCATCTGGGGAAGACCGCGATCATCCCGCTCCACCTGGAGCCCCTCGACGCCTTCCGGGGCCGGTTGGCGAGGGCAGCGCCGTCCTGGGGGGGGGGTCCGCGTCGCGACCTCGGCGGAGCACCTCGGTTTTATTTTGGGGCCTGGCCGCGGCGCGACCTCCTGGGACAAACCGCCGGGGAAATATCGACAGCGCGCCGCTGCTTGGGGAAAGGTTGGTTGTGGACTGCGGCTAACTTTGCTGGCGTACCGCGCGTGCATCTTCTCCGCCGTACTCGTCGTCGCCCAGTTGGATGCCCCTCCGGCCGAATGGGCCCGCTTCGAGCAGACCGCGGCCTCTAAGCTGTTCCCAGGTCCGCGGTGTTGGGCCACGGTCAACGCCCTGCGGGCCCTACCGCATCTCGGCTTCCAGGGCGGGCTGGTTGACCTCGACGCGCACGCGCTCGCAGCCGAGCACCGGGTCGCCACCTTCGAGAACAGGCCCCATGGCGTTCTCGCGATCCGCACCCGCGCAAGGGAGCTTCGTGCAGTTGCAGCTCGAGCGAACCAGTTGGAGCGACAGCACGTCATGGCGTCGTGGTTTGCATCCGCATTCGCTCTTCAATTGGATTCTGCCGTCGAGCACTTTACGGAGGCCGGCTTCGGGATCCAGCGGATCCAAGCACGAATCCTAGGGCATCTTGGTCCTCGTGCCCCGGTGGACCTCCTCACTCTGCGGCGCCAGTGGCAGAAGACTTGTCGGGCTATAATTGAGCCGTCGACCCGCGCCACCTTCGAGCTCTTCATGCGGCGGCGGCTGGCGCGGTACGATATGGGATTGTTCGAACGGGTCTGCGCTGATCGCGCACTCCTGGTGTTGCCGTCTTTGAGTTCTTACCTGCCGGCGCGGGCGCGGGCCGCAGTCTTGCGCGCATGGTGGAATGGCTGGGTCACGAGCCGCCGTTCTCAAGAGCAGGGTCGATGTATCTTCGGGTGCGCGTGCGAGGACAGCGTCGAGCACTACGCCCGGCGCCCGGTCGTCCGCGAGTTGGGCTCCCGCTTCTTGCACCTCGATGCGCCGATCGGCCCAGGAGCAATCGAGGATTTTCTGATCTTGGTGCCACGCTACTCCACGGGAGTTCGCGATCTACTGGTGAGGAAGAGCATCCGCGTCGCGGCCGTGTACATTTTACATGAAGCGCAGGCACTCTCCTGGAGGTGCTGGCCCGCTAGCTTGGCAGGCTCTCGCCCACACGGCCAAGGAGATAGTGCGCGGCCACGGCGCTGCGACGGCTTGCGTCGCTCGCGCCTGGGCCCCTATGCAGTAGTTTCTCTCTCTCCTCCCTTTCTTGTTCCTCGCGCTGCCGCCGCTGCTCTGCAGCTGTCTACGTACTCGGGTTTTTACTTCGTTTCGCACAAGGTGGGCCAGTTTGCGCTGTGCCCCGCTTGGTGCCGTGGGGATTCGCCTGTGTGGAATATCGCTGGCCGCTTGGGCCTTGGGGGATATGTCCACACAGCGTGCTATATCCGCTGTCGCTCCTCCTCCCTCGTTCTCCTCCTCCTCCTCCTCCTCCTCTTTCTTGCATAATATTGTATTGGATTTATTAGCGTGGCCGTTTGGGCTACCTGGTAGGGGTTATAACACAATGTTGGACCACGCCCGGGCGTTCACACAATGTGTACCCTCGGCGTCTAATACTTTCTTTTCCCTCCTCCTCCTCCTTCCTCCTCCTCCCCTCCTTTTCCGCCCCTGCCCACCCGCCTCTTGCGTGTGTACTTTAACCCCCACGACCACGTGAGTACTTTAGCCCCCGGGGCCACGTGATTACTGTCGCCCCCGGCGGCGAAGTGGTCTTCCCGCCGGTCATCACGCAGGTGGTCTGGACCAAAGGTTTACCGTGTTTTTTGCTTCCAGTGCGCTGCTTCGCTCTTGAGGTTAGCAGGCGCTGTAAAGTTAGAATCATGGCAGCATGAGTAGGCTAGCTCCCGTGCAAAACGTCTGTCAAAGCCCCCGTGGGGGGATGCGGAATTGTCGCGGGGCGCGCGGGCGGGGGGGGAAATTCGTTACTTTCCCCGGCGGTTTCACATTCAGCAGCATTGCCAGGTAGCGGGCGCTACAGCTTCAACTGGCGCTCTCTGTGTCGACGCTCGCGGCCATAATTTCGGCCACGTTCGCGGGACAACCGTGCTACGTGCCCGCTAGTGAGCTTGGTGCCCTCGTTCGGCGCCCGGCGGAAAAAAAACAAAAAACAAATCACAGGATAAAGCTAGTATTAATAATAACCATATCTAACAATAACAGTACTCCTCGCAGTAATACCAGTAAGACTAACTATCGAATTAATACTGCTAATACTACTCGTAATCGTAATAACAATGATCTCACACATAGGTAATGATAGTTCTAGTCAGCTAGCTGCCTGCGGTAACCCCCGCCGCAGAAACAGCGCAGTTCCGAGAAGTGGTGCAACAGCGCTGCATGAAGGAGACCGAGAATAGGAACAGCGCAGTTCCGAGAGTTGGTCTGATAAGGACGGGTCGTACATTCGACCTCGTTTTCGTCCGCGCGGCGGGAAGGAGGTCGAGTTCACACTCCACGGCAGTTCGGCGAGTGGTCTGAATTGGGGACGGTCGTGATCCCGACATCGTCTTCGTCCGCGCGGTAGGGAGGGAGAGGAGGAGGAAGAAAAGGAAAAGGAGGAGGCACAGGAGGAGGAGGAAGATATGGAAAACATCGGGACGAGGAGGATCGGGTAACGGGTAGCAGGATTTGGATTGCGCTCTGATTCGCCGAGGAGACGGTCTGCCTAGTGCGGCATTCACTAGCTGCTGGCAGAAGCACGCGGTATCTAGCAGCACGGGCGCAAAAGGTGTAAATGCTCCACCCCCGTCCTGTCCCCACATACCCCCATGTTGGACGGAACTGCGCGGGGCTGGCACGACTAATGGCCAGCTCGACGTAGCTCTCATTCTGCACCGGAAGGGAGGGATAAGGGGCAAGTCCGAAGGGAGGAATGATCAGATGCGAGAGGAGAGAGTATGACTGGGACGCAGATCCAAAATTCTAGACGCTTCGCGTATCCCCACCAGCCCGTCCAGAAACGACGCCCAGGCGAGTAGAGGGTCGTCCTGAGGGGCTTTTCGGCGTCTGGGGTGCCTCGGGGGGGCCTCTTTGGGCCGTTTGGGATCCTCTTGGGGGCCTCCTGGGGGCCTCTTGGGGCCATCTTGGGGCCTCTTGGTGCCTCCTGGGCGCTTCTTGGGGCCATCTTGGAGGAAATCGATCAAAGAAGAGGGGAGCTTTAATTAGCGCTACCCCCTCAGAAGGCCAAAATGGGGCCGAAACCTTAGTAAACTCAATGATTTTGGCTTCAAAGAAGAGGGGAGCTTTAATTAGCGCTGCCCCCTCAGAAGGCCAAAATGGGGCCAACACCTTTGTAAAATCAATGATTTTGGCTTCAAAGAAGAGGGGAGCCTCAATTAGCGTTGCCCCCGTCAGAAGGCCAAAATGGGGCCAAAACCTTTTTGTAAAATCAATGATTTTGGCTTCCTCGGCGAGGCCGTTTTGGACGCTCTGACCGCTCCCCGCCCCCCTTGTCCAGGTCAGTGGGGAGGGGGTAGGGGGAGGGGTAAACCCCTCCCCGAAGGGGAAGAAGGAGGGGTGGAAGAGGAAACTCGTTAAACCACCGACGCCCTAAAGGGCTGGTGGGACTTCCAGCTCGGTAGGAGGGCAGACCGAGGGGGAGGGTCGCGAGTAGGCTGCCTGACCATTCCGACCCGACTGAGCTCCTGCAAGGCGGTGCTGCGCAAGGAACGTACAACAACAGTTCGTCTTCCTGGGAGTGGAAGGAAGAGAGGGCGCGGGAGGGCAGAATTGGCACGACAAAGCTCGGCGACGCCCAACTACCCTCCATCCCCCGACCTCCTACCATCCCCGCGGCCAGTCCTCCACATGTGCAACTATGGGCCAAGCTGGGCCAGGCGCGCACTGACAAGCATATCATCGTAACTGAATGCCTGAGGGCGGGGAGGAGCAGGCACATGTATTAGTTCTGCCCGGACCCACCATCGCACGCACATGTTAAACATGGCATCGGCGACAGCTCGGTCAAGGCACGCCCGGCTTCGCAACCGCTTCGCGAATCGAATCAGATCAGTGTCGCACTCGGGCCCATTTCCAGTGCAAGTCGAAAACTCGAAATGGTGGCCTGCTGGAGGGCAACCGAATCAGAGGGTGAACGTGATGTTCATGAACAGCACCGCGAGCACCACGGTCCGGAGCCACGGCCATGGCAGCAGCAGCTCCAGAGGCGGAGGCATCGCACGCCTCGAGCCTCGGCCCCACCGGGGGGGCAGCACCTGCAGGAAACGGTGGCACACGGCGTAGCGCACCATCACGCTGACCATGAACGACACCAGGGGCTCCAGGTTCCTGAGCCGCGGCGGCAGCAGTTCCGGAAGCGCCGAGCCAACCGCACTTCCAGCAGGTAGCCGCGGCTCTGAGCGAAGAGCATGATCGATATGATCCTGAACCCCAGCTTCGGCAGCAGCAGCGCCAGAAGCGGAGACCGCGAACCTCACCCGCTTTCGTGCTTCTGGGGGCGCAGCGCAGGCAGACGTGTCGCAGGGCGTAGGTCACGATTACGAGGAGCGTGGGCAAAACCACCAGGAACTCCAGATTCGAGGGCCTCGGCCCCGGCAGCAGCAGCGCCGGAAGTGGCCGCGCCAAACGGCCCGCGACGTGGCACCTCAGGGGGCGCAGCACCAGCAGGGAGCTCCGGCGCAGGGCGTAGAGGACAATCCCGTGGTTCTTGAACACCACCAGGAGATCCACGATCCTGTGCCGCTTCGTGCGGCAGGGCTGGTTCGCTGGGATGTGCCAGCTGCGCCATGGAGGTCCCGTCGTTGTCCTTGTGCACCCTGAACTGGGGCCATTTGCCTAGGAGGGCTGCAACATCCGTCTCGCCCGCATCCTGCATGAGGAAGTCAATGCGGATCCGCCAAATGGCCGCGAACTCATCACGAAGGCGAGCCACGGGAACAGGCCCTCGGCCGCGCAAGCCTTTGGCCACCACCAGCGGCGGGGCCGCATCCAGCGCCGAGGGCGGGGCAGCCACCGCCTCCGCCAGCGCCGGTGGCGAGGCAACACGGTCCAGAGACTCTTGTCGCCATCGGGACGCGCAGGCGGGCCAGCACGAGGCAGACCGCGCTCATCCTCTCGAGCGTCATGTGCGGGTGGTGGCAGAAGACAGAGCGGCGGCAGTCCGGGAGCATCATGTGCAGGTGGTGGCGGCAGCGCCGGTAGCTGCGGCAGCGGGCGCGAAGCGCTCGCCGAGGAACGCGGCGGGGCGCAGGGTGCACTCCGGGGTACAGCAGGGCAGGGGACGCCAGGGGCCACGCCAGCGGCCGCAGCAACCATGTCCACAATCGGCGGCATGACATCGATCTGGACGTCCCGTTGAACTTCAGGCCGAGCACGAGAACGAGCTTGGGCATCGGCAGCAGCGACTGCGCGAGCGAGGCTAGCCACGTCGCGCATGCAAGGTCGGCGGCCCACTCGGGCCGCGAAGCCGAGCCTGCCCACGGCGGCGCGCAGGGGCGGTCTCGGCCAGTCGCCGTGGCGCTGGCCGGAAGCATCTCGCGGCGCGCGGCTGTCCCGGGGGAGTGGGGCGGTCGGGACGGCGCGCATGGGCCCCTAGCCCCCCAGTGGGAAATGTCTCCACCGGGGCCGGAGCCTTGAGCCAAAATGGCTACGGAGGGTAGCAGGAGGAAGGGAGGGGGAGGTGGAGGAGGAGGAGGACGAGGAGGAGGAGGACGAGGAGGAGGAGGCCCGGGGGGCACGGGGCGGAAGGGAAGAGGGAGGCATCACCAGCGTGACTGCGCGAGACCAAGCGCCCAGGCCAGGGCGCACCTGCAGGGTTGTGGAGCAGAGCGTAGCAGCGGCGGCCCCAGGACCCGCGCCCCCTCGACGAGCTCGCAGCGCGCCCAGAATGCAGATCGCCCCGCGCGCTGGGGTCACGCCCCGATCGGCCGCGCTGCCGTGGTTGTGGAGGTGGTGGTGGTGGTGGTGGTGGTGGTGGTGGTGGTGGTGGTGGTGGTGGTGGTGGTGGTGGTGGTGGTGGTGGTGAGGAGGAGGAGGAGGAGGAGGAGGAGGGAGGAGGAGGAGGAGGAGGAGGAAGTGGAGGATCAGGTGGATGATAAGGGGAAGGAGGATGATGCTGATGGTGGTGGTGGTAGTGATGGTGATGTGATGATGATTGATGATGATGAATGATGATGATGATGATGATGATGATGATGATGATGATGATGATGATGATGATGATGATGATGATGATGATGATGATGATGATGATGATGATGGTGATGATGATGATGATGATGATGGTGATGATGATGATGATGAGGACGATGATTGTGATTCTCATCATGATGCTGATGATGATGATGATGATGATGATGCTGCTGCTGATGATGATGATGATGATGATGATGTCGATGATGGTGGTGATGGTGATGATGATGATGATGGTGATGATGATGATGCTGATGCTGATGCTGCTGATGATGATGAGGAGGATGATGGTGATAATGAGGATGAGGATGAGGATGATGATGGGGATGAGGATGCGGAGCAGGAGGAGGAGGATGGGACTTCGGGACTGACTACGTCAGGTCGGGTGACCTGCTCGGCACTACGGCCGCAGCGCCGCGGGAGAGGTGTCTCTTTCCTGCCCGCAGCCGAGGTGCGAAAGGCACCAGCCAACACCGAAGCCCCAGAGGGCCGCGCACGGCCCCAAAGGGGCCCAAAACAGGAGGGCCAGGAGGGCCAGGGAACCCGCCCCAAGGTACCGAGACCCCGCGGACAGGAAGCCGACACCCCCCACAGCGCCCACCTCCGGCCTCTGCGGAAGGAGGGCCTTCAGCGCGCCCTGGTATTCGGGCTGCGCGCGCAGCCAGTCCAAGAAACTCGTGCAGTCGACGCCCTTGGCCACGACCGCCTCCTTAAACTGCTCGAACAAGGTCTTGAGTCTTGACGAGCAGTGAGATCTCGTCGCGCTTGTCCGCCTCCGCGAACTGCTCGGTCTCCGCGCTCGCGGCCAGCACCTCGGAGTCCTCGTGCCCACTTTCGAGCATGGGGAACGGAGGCAGTGCCGCCAGCTCCACGAAGATGTCATCGCTGTCGTGGGCCACGGTCAACTACTTGAAGCTCCCCTCGTCGCCCTCAAACTCGTACAACTTGTAGTCCTTCTCGAACGTGCTGTCGCTACCGCCGCCGCCGACGGAGTCGAGGAACACCTCCTTGTTGGGACCGATGACGCCGACAAGGGCGAGGCGGGCCTCCCGCGCACGCTCCGTTTTCGCGAAGGCCTCCATGTTCAGCCTACGCACGTCCGTGAACGGGTCCTCGGGCACCTTGCCACGATGCCAGCACGCCCAGCCGTCGGCCGCGTCGTCGCCATCACGGTAGTCCTCGTGCCCGTCGTCGCTGTAGATGTCGAAGACAATTTTAGCCTTCAGTCCACCAGCCCCCGATGGCTGGAGCGAGAACGGCTCCGCCTCCTGAATTCCCGCTCCGCCTTCTTGGCTTTGTTGGCCTCCCGCTTCGACTTGTTCTTCTTCTCCTCCTTCTCCTTTTTGCTCTTTGTCCTGCGGCAGCTCGGGGTTCGTGGAGTTCGCGCCGATCCACTGCGTCGGCATCCCCATCTGCTCCGTGACTGCCTCCTGCTGCTCCCGGTTCTCCGCCGCTGGCTGGTTCCTGCTGCGAAGCTGCGCCGACAGCGGAGGTGCCACACGTGTCAAGTGCCCAGGCGGTGGAAATGGAGGCGCGGCTGGCTCCATCACGCCGTCTTTTACCGGCCAAGGCCAGCATCGGCGCGCGTGATGGCCGCGGCCTCACTTTTGCCCATGAGGAGGCTGAATGGGGAAAATTATGGCTCAGGGGGTGGTGGACGAGGCTGAGGAGCATTCGTAGTGGTAGTGGTAGTGGTAGTGGTAGTGGTAGTGGTAGTGGTAGTGGTAGTGGTAGAAGTAGTGGCAGTTGCAGTGGCAATGGTCGTGGGAGTGGTCGTGGTAGTAGCGTAATCGTAGTAGTAGTAGTAGTAGTAGTAGTAGTAGTAGTAGTAGTAGTAGTAGTAGTAGTAGTAGTAGTAGTAGTAGCGGTGCGCGCTACTCGACCTCCTACGGCGTCTGCATCGAGTTCATAGAGGAAGAGTTGAACCCGCCACGTGCGTACTACATGCACGCGGAACACCCCGAGGAGGACATCCGTGACTTGAAGGCCCTGCTGCGCTACGACAAGCTCAAGAGGGAGGAGATACCAGTGTTCAGTGCGGTGGACCTCCTGAAGTACCTGCCCAAGGTCGAGCCGCTGGCGGTGGGCACCGTCGTCAAGCGCTACGCTCCACACCAACCACAGTGGGAGGGCCACTATGTGCTGATGGAGGGGCTCTCCTGGGAGAGCCTGACCGAGTTCAAGTGGACCGACCTCTACGCGCAGGTCGCCCGGGGACTGAACGACCCAGAGTGGGCGGGCTACAGCGAGAAGGCGCGGAACAAGGCCAAGAGGGGGCGCCTGGAGATGGCGCGCAGGGAGCTGGCGCTCCACGAGCGCCGCCGCAACCTGCGGGAGGGCAGCCTCACGGGCGGCGGGGGTGGTACAGGGGTCGCCCCGCGTGCCACCCCCGCCCGCGCCGCCAGCGCCCCCCCAGCGGGTGGGGCCCGCGGCAGCCAGGACCCGCCGCCACCGCCTGTCGGAGTCCCGCCAGCGGCCGCGGCCATCATGGCCCCTCCGCCGCCGCCGCTGACGGCTCCCCCATCGGTGCCGCCGCCGCCGACGGGCCCGCCGCCGCAGACGGACCCGCTCCCGCAGCAGATCCCAAATGCTGCAGCCCTGAACGTGGCCCTCGGTGAAGACCTCGAGCGCCAGGTCTTTGGGCCCTCAGGGCAGGCGGGCGGCAGTGGCGACCTCGGTGGGGAAGTGCAGGCGCTGCCGTCGCAGGTCTTTGCGGCCATTGCGCAGGGGGCAGGCCAGCCTGCCTGAACGATGAAGCTCAGCAGGTACCAGGCCCTCGACAGGCCGCGTGAGTTCATGCCGAGCTGTCTTGCTTGCCACTTTCAGTAGTGCGGCGTGGCCGCAGTGGCGCGCCCCTCGCGTGGCTGCACCTGTGGCTTTTGCCTCTGCTCGGCGTATGGTCACCCGCGCGCCTTGCTACTCTGGCCCGCCAACTGGCTTGCCATCTTGGCCTCCTCTCACGCTCACTTGCGCTCGTGGGCCTCGCTGGCGGTGCTGGGGCCGCCCCGTGTACTGCCGCGTCGCCGTTGGGCGCCTGGCCATTTTGGCCCGCCATCCTGGCCTCCTCTCGCGCCTTCTTGCGCTAGTAGGCTTTGAAGGCGGCGCTGGGGTCGCCTCGTGTGCTGCTGCGCCGCCGCTAGCGCTTCACTGTGGGCCGTAGGGGCCAGCTGCCCTCGGCCAGGCGCCTGCCGCTGCGTGCGCGCCTGACCCGCCCTTGGCTTGCCATCCTGGCCTCTTCTCGCGTCTTCTCGCGCTAGTTGGCCTGGATGGCGGTGCTGGGGTCGCCCCGTGTGCTGCTGCGCCGCCGCTGGCGCTTCACTTTGGGCCGTTGGGGCCAGCTGCCCTCGGACGAGCGCCCGACGCTGCAAGCGCGTCGGA